TTATCAAATCAGAGTAAGAGCAATTGTCTTGAAATGGGATTGAATCAATCAATTCCATATTAGTTGTGCCACTAAGATAGAATGTGTAGAGCTATTAGAAATATAAAAAGAAAAAAAAATCATGAATAACTAGGTTTAACTTCGATAGGTAATAATCAAGATGATATCCACATACTCTAAGGATGAATCAATCTAAGAAAAAATTATTAAATAATATAAATAAAATTTAAATACATAAGATAATAATAATTTTTTTTATCAAGTTTAATGATGAAAAAATTCACTTAGTTGTCTCTAAAAAAATCACGACTTTACGGCTTCCCGTTATTATCGATCTATCGATTTAGGTCTAAAGTAAAGAAGAAATTTATCGGAATCAAATTTTGCTTTAGATTTTTTTAATTTTTATATTATTTAAAATATATAAAGAGACAATGACATTATATTATCATAATAGAAATAACACCCTCACATATTAATCATGAGAGACCCCATAAAATTGGTTGTCTTGAGCTTAAAATCTCTCAAGCATCATGTGATCAATAGCAACACCAAACCCTAAAACAAAGTACTGATGGAGTAGAGTGTGTCAACAAGCAAAGCCATATGGAGGATCTCATTGGCATGAGAGGGTCGCAACACCCCACGAATCAATACCATTTTAATACTCCGTTCCTCCAACATGATTCGATCACCAAACAACATTTTAATCGTATCTTAATGGTACCTTTTCCAACATGCGTCACGAGTGACCTCACACCCTTTGCCTTCAACCCAAGCACAATAAAAAGCCCCTTCCTCATGTCCTCTATGATGGCAACATAAGTAAACAAGTAGTAGTTGTGTGCACGTAATCTTAGATTAATGGCTTTGGGATTCGATGAGTTGTTGACCAATTAGTCCAATCACCATTATATATTACTCCTTCTAAGTTAAGCTTGTTATAACATAATAATAGCATTAGAATTCAAATTGACATCAATAAGGATGTTTTAAATATATACACTTTAATTTTCTGATTAGATATATAAAATATAAATATTTAAAGGATATATAATATTAAAAAAAAATAGAGCAGCAAATTATTTGACAAAGGAAAATGATTAAAGGCCTAAAAATTTATAGCTTACTACCTCATGACCTATTTGACACATCTCAATAAAAGTAGAAAACAAAGAAGAGAGAAGATTGTGTGACACCTACTAAAGATATTCTTAACATTATTGACTGATTAGGTGCTTGTTGGAGGCACTACAAAGGGAATAAAAAAAGGGGGTTTGAGCCTTTGCATCACTTGGGAGTTCCCATTTGGAAGGGTGATCATAAATAAAAGGTTTAGTACCAACAGTCAATGAAGATATCTTGGCGTTAGGGATTAAAAAATGGAACCTTGGGGCCCATAACTAAGACTTTTGGTCCCCTCCTAAGTTTACATTTGGAGACTTTTATATTATGATCATCCATCAACTATCTTCATCCATTAGAATGTAACTTTCTATCTCCTCTTAATTTTTGTCTAACTTTTGCCTAGTTGTGATGCTTTAGAGAGCTTAATAGCGATAGTCGATTTTAATCAAATCGAATGTAATTCCTCGTGACTCACTCGTTTGACAAATGAGGACATTCATTGCACTTGGTCAAATTTCCTAAATTTTACATGTTATTTTTGAGTGACCAATAGACTTGCTAATTTCTTGAGGCCCAACAATTTGTTTTATCATAAAAAATATTATTTTTTCCTTTTCGACTTTATATTGTGAGCTACAATCACTAATATATTTACATTTGCCACCAAAACTTTCTTTTGTCCAACATATTATACACACATGCATTTAGCTATTACACATGCATATCCAAGTTTTATATATATATATATATATATATATATATATATATATATATATATCCAAGTTAAATTTGTGTTGTCCTTTTTGTTCATCAAGCAAAGGATATGAATCTACAAGCTTATATGAAAATGGGCTTAACTTGGGCCTAAAATGGGGCCCAATCTAAGCATATTCCCCAAGCAATTTAATGTTTTTCACATACTTGTTTACAATTTGGAAATGATATTTTTAAACCTTATAAATTTTAGTATATCCTCTTGTGTCCATCAAAATATTAAAATAAGATCCTCCGGTATTAACCATTTTTTTGTAAAAAAAATTTTACTTTAAATAGTATTTTCACCGTCATAATAATCAAGAAATTGTTTTGGGAAGAGAGCATTGACAATGAAACCCCAATCTGCATAGTGATCAATTGGATTTTGGTGTCTTCTACAGGTCATTGGTGGCGAGAGGTTGAGATCAAAAGGTTTTACTCGAAGGTCAAGGTTTTGAAATGTGCCATACGAAAAAAGTCTGATTATGGTGTTGTTATTGGGCTATTTACTATTGCATTTTGTTGATCTTTCATTTTGAAATGTTGGTTTCTTATGCTGAATCATTAATGACGCCAACACTTATATATTTTCTATCAACATTTCCATTTTAAATATTTATAGTAATCGATTGGTGACAGATGATATGTTTGCTCGAGCTTTAACTTGATTTGTCAATGGCTGATATGGCTGGCTCTAAGCCCTCAGTTTGATGTGCGTGTAGTATCCTAAGTTGGTTAATCATCATCATATTTATCCCTCTCAAATGTTGTGTACAATCAATTAATCAATCAATCAATCTTGTATACTTTAAGTTAAGCGAATTGAGTTTATTTTATTTTAATGGATGTTAATAGGGGCGTAATTCAAGTAATAAGATTTCTTTTGGGGGGTAATTAAAGCAACAACCGACAGACCATTATGAAAACAACGAAATGAAGTTTTAAATGGTTTGCACACCTATAGATATTTTAGTTAAACAACATGCGACAAAGATGACACGTAAGCATGGTGAAGTCAGCAGCTGCCGTCACATGGTGTGACACAAGCGGTCTTTCGTGGAAGCACGTGTTGCTTTCTTTCTTCTCATTTTATCACGGGCTTCGTTTATCCGTTTCTAAAGCTGAAGGATGATAAGGACAGAAGACGGAAAGAGAGAGAGAGATGACAGAGATGATCAAGATGAGATTGAAGTATGTACACGAAGGATTTTAAGGTTAAGTCGATTAACTTAAGGTTTTTTAAGTAGATTTTAAGCTAAGGGATAAATAGTAACAAGTTGGGTACAAACCTAAAGCCTGACAGAGATGACTAAACAACGCAATCGTCCGACATGAATCCAACAATATCTCTTCGAACAGGAGATTCTTGTTTTGTCTTTCGTCTTTTTGCTTCCCTAGAAAGAGAATTAGATCACACCGGAATATTTGGAATCACCGTACCTTAAGTTGACGCTTTGACTAATACTTCCTTCTCTGAATGGGTGGGCCGGTCTTTACATTGAACAAGTTTAGACCCATCAGCCACTAAAATGGTGGACCCATTGATCAGTAATTTAATGGTATTCAATTTTGAGATTGTATCATATCAAGGATTAACTTCCAGTGGATCTGATCTATAATCAACCCTGAATTGACTTTGAAGGAATAAAATTTTACGAGCTAAACTAGAGATGAAGATAAGATTCCATGTTGTGATCATTATTATGTTACTTATAATAATCATGATGTTGGTTATTAAATTTAACATAAGATCTTTAAATAAATGGCAAAGAATCATAGATAGATCATGGGTATGCATTGGGCTAATTACATATTACCCCATGTAATTAATTACCTTTATCATTCCAATCCTTATACTTACAAAATGTGAAATATTTAACTTAATTACTCTAACAAAACTATTTTTTCGTAAAATTATATTTTGAACCTTATATAGAGATCTTAATATTTTACCTTTCGTAAGTACAAGAATCCAATGTAACTTTTAAAATTATAAAAATTATAATACTAAATATAACTAATTCCAAGGGATAATCTCCCTGTATATTATGTGTTTAATTTGGTGCATCTAAATGATTTAACCTGAATGATCAGATTGTGAATACAAATAATCAACTTGTAAGTATTTAATTTAAATAAATAAATTCTCACATGTGAACACAAGATTAAATCCATTCTTGGATAGAGACCGGAGAATAATGGGAGACCATGATGTGAAGTTTGGATGGAGTGGGGCCGCACTTAAACGCGTCGGCGGTGAGACCCTCCAAGTGGCAATCACAAGCTTGACACTCAAGTCATCGCATCTTACTGGTGGCCTCCCATGATTATTACTAATTCCGCTACAATTGGATTTAAAATGATGAACACAAAAATATTAAATAGGAGGATGTATACGCATTATTGTCGGAGTGTTAATTGGAGTTCCTAAAGGCCATGATTTGATTAAAGGTGGATTCGGGTATCGTTTGCAGATCCGATCCATTTGCAGCCCCCCTATATAAAACGTACCCACCCCCTTCTTCCCGTGCACGGTGCTGCTCACCCTCCAAAGATAACCGATCCTCCGGCACTCGCTTCATCTCTTGGCCTCTTCTTCTCTTCTCTATCGCCCATTAAGTCCCCTCGAGATGGAGAACTCGACAGGTCCTAAGTACCCCGAGAAGCCAGCCGGAAACCCTTACCCCAAGAGAGGACAGATCAAGGTCAGGATCTTCAAGGAGTTCACCTCAGCCGTCGGCTCCAGTGCTCCCGGAGATCACAGCTGCCATGCCGAAGCCGGCTGCGGTGGCAGCCCGGCGTCGACCACCCCTGTTCGCGACGGCTCTCGAGGAGGCCGAAGCTGATGAGTTGCCTATGCCTGTATTACTTCCATCATCCACAGTGGATGTGTGTTGTGTCTCCGTTGCTTGTCTTCTTTATCGAAGGTGCCGTAGCAACGGAGTGAAGACTCTGTGACTAGTGCTGGCTTTGGGTTCCCTTACTGTTTCAGATTTTAGCTTCAGTTCTTCGCCTTCCAGTTCAGTAGGACTATTTGCAAGGTCTGGGAACACCATATTTGTCATTATAAATTTTAATACAACATATATATTTTCTTTCGATTAGGAAGCCATATTCATCAAAAGAATTAAAACTAATCATTTCTAGTTGGTTAAACTATCAAAATGATTTTGAAAGGTCTTAGTGATAATTACGACTACTAACTATATAACTGCCGATTGGTGAAGATTAATTATAAGGGTGTATAAATAATTTTTATTTCATGGCAAGGGTGGCCTAAAATTGCTAATGTCAACAGGGGATTTTGGTTGTGTGAAACCACTTCTGGTTTATGCTGCCTCAAATAGACACTCAGCAGCTGCAGTAGCAGCAGCAGTGCGATGGGTCAATGTAAAAGTACTAAAAGAAGGATAAACAATAGGCAAGACAGAATTAAATTGCCAATGAAAAGGCTACGTACCTTCTTCAGTAAATGGTTCTTCCCTTGCGTACTTCTCATGTGCCTCAACGTCACTTGAATCTGATGGAATTAACGAATTACCACAACTGAAACGAAGAAGATTTGTATTGGTTATTACAATAGTCTCCTCCATTAAGCATATTGGAAATTTACCTTATCCAATCATTGTTAGCTTGCTCAGCGCTCATTGCAGCAAAACCAGCTTCTCTTTCTTCCTCTTTTTGCGTTTCCCTTACTATGCATGAATAGTTCAGGAGAAAGAACTATTGAATGGTAAATTATGCATGCTGTGAAAGATGATATTTAGTAGTTAAAGGCGAATATGCAAAAGAACTTGAAAGAGAAGAAAAAAAAGAGCATGTCGTTGTCATGAAAAAGTAATGGAAAAGAGAGGCAAAAAAGATGCTGCACTTGCAGAAGAAGAAATACAATGACACAAATTACTGATATCCAATCTCCTCCTCGATGGATATCTTTTCTCTCTTCCTCCGACATAGCCTTCATTTGGATTTCAAGTCAAACCGAGGAGGCAGTGCATGTCAATAATGGCAGCCCTTACCATCATTTAGGTTCTACTAAAGTTAACTCGAAAAAGGGGCATACTGGGCTGCATAGTCCTTTGATAGGTGATATGCTCCGGTCACTATTAGTTGGGAAAAATTATTATAACGGAATATTTTTTTTAATTAAAATGAGATTTCTCATCAAATATCAAATTTTATCGAAAATAAATATTAACTAGAGCAGTATAAATAATAGAATAATAAATCAATCACAAAATGAGATATAAAATTTCTACGTAAAAAATCAAATACGAAAAAAATCACGGGACCATAGTCCATTTCAAACTTCCACTATCATCAATAATAATAATAGATTTATAATAAGTCTTCTTTAGAATAACTAGAATATCATAATAACATCAAGAATATATATCTTGACTCAACAATAACATATCATCATCACCATAGATGAATTTCATAAAAGAAAAATTTTAAGTCTCACAAAGTGGGTATAACAGAAAAGCATTTCAAAGAGGATAAACTACAAATTGATACCATTAAGATTGTAGAGCTTGTTGCAAGGATTCTTCACATAAAATTTAGGTTAAAACCGTCAAAGTTTAGCCACTTAGATCATCTAGCAAAAGCCTCAAAGCCTAAACTTTCCCTCTCCTCTTCTCTCTTTATTATTTTTCTGCACCGTCACAATTTCCACCGTTCGCACCGTTCGCACGCTTCTTCCATCGACACATGTCTCCACTTCCCTATTTTTTTTTTCCCTCTTTTTTCTTTTTTTCAATAAATTAGATTTGGGCTCAATACCCAAATCAATCCGTCTAAGCCCGCCTATGGGCTGGACATAATAATTCTCCCCCTCCAGCTCATATGGTGGGCTGTACTAAACCCGCTCTTTACCTACATGCTTCAAGCTTCTCCTTTGGCAAAGATTTTATCAATATGTTTTATCAATTCTCATTGGTATGTACCTTTTCCAAGTGCAATTCTTTCATCTTAAGCACATCACGAATCCAGTGGTATCTTACGTCAATATACTTGGATCTAAAATGGTATGTTGAATTCTTTAATCTTAAATAGTATATCCTTCATGTTTCAAGCTCAATTCTTGTAGAAACATTTTCATACATAAAGCTTTTTTGCAAGCTTCAGTAATTCCTATATATTATGCTTCTGTGGTTGATAAAGCAACACAATTCTGCACTTATAATACCAAGAGACTGCTCCTCCTAAAAACGTCATCAAGAACCCCGAAGTGGACTTCCTAGAATCAGTATCACCTGCCATGTCTGCATTTGTATACCCTTCTTACCACTACCAAAATATAAACATAACCTGAAAGTACCTCTTAGATGCTATCTTAGGATTAGAGAGAAATCGAATGATAACTCAAATTACATAAGTTATATTTGGCCTAGTACAAACCATAGCATACATCAAGCTATCTATCGCAGATGAGTAAGACACTCTGGACATTTCTTCCCTTTCTTTCTCACTTATAGGGCATTGTTTCCAACTAAGCTTAAAATGACCTACAAATGGAGAACAAACTACTTTGACTTTACTTATGTTGAATTTTCAAGAACCTTTTCAATTTATGTATCTTGAGATAGCCAAATCTTTTTATTCTTTCTATCACGAAGAATCTTCATACCAAGTATTTGTTTTGTTGATCCTAAGTTTTTCATGACAAAAGACTTAGCTCTCTTTTAAGCTTCTTAATTTTACTAGCATCATGGCCAATAATGAGCATATCATCAACATATATCAAGAGAATAATGAAATCATCATTTGAAAACTTTCTTGTAAACATACAATGATCACATGTGGTTCTATTGTACCCTTGACTCATCGTAAAGGAATCAAACTTCTTATACCATTGTCTCGGTGCTTGTTTGAGTCCGTATAAGCTTTACCTAAGCTTGCACACTAGATTTTCTTTTCCTTTGACTTTGAAACCTTATGGTTGCTCCATGTAAATTTCTTCTTCTAAGTCACCAAGAAGAAATGCAGTTTTCACATCAAGTTGCTCAATTTCTAACTTCAAGCGAGCAACCAAACTAAGAATAACTCGGATAGAGGACATTTTCACCACAGGAGAAAATATTTCTTCAAAGTCAAACCTTTCTTCTGACTGGATCCTTTCACAACTAGTCGTGTCTTATATCTTTGTTTTGAGTTATTATTTTCAGTCTTCAATTTGTAAACTTATTTATTCTTGAGAGCTTTCTTCTCTTTATATAACTTTACCAAATCATAGGTGTGGTTCTGAAGCAAAGATCTCATCTATTCTTGCAAGGCTTTAATTCACTAATTCTTGTGCTCATGTAGAATAGCTTCTTGGTAAGTTTCTGGCTCTCCCCCATCAGTAAGCATAATATACTCATATGGAGGATCTCTTGTAGATGATTGTCGCTCTCTTGTGCATCTTCTCAGTGAAATCTCAATTGGTGGAGGGTGGTGGAGGTACTTGCTCAAATTGTTCAATTGGTTCAATATCATCAACTGTAGAAGCATCATCACTGACATTCTCACTATAATCTTCCTATTCATCTCCCTCATGATCATCATGAATTACAGGTGAATGGACTTGACCCAAACTCTAAGAAATATAAATTCTCAACATTGTTACCATAATTAAACAATTAGTCTTCAAGAAACACAACATCTTTACTTCTAATAATCTTTTTGTTCATTCGATTCTATAATTTGTACCCAAACTCTTCATGACCATACCCCAAGAAAATATATGCTTTTGTCTTATTATCAAGCTTGGATCTTTCATCTTTGAGAATATGAACAAATGCTTTGCACCCAAAGACTCTCAAGTGATCATAAGATATATCTTTTTTTTTCCTTTCCAAACTCTCACTGGAACATCACCTTTTAGAGGAACTAATGGAAAAAGATTTATCAGGTCAAGTGTAGTTCTCATAGCCTCCTCCCAAAATGAATTAGGTAACTTAGCATGGAAAAACATATGTGAAACTCGCCACCATTATCTGCTCAAACATACTTTAGCTTTCTGTTAGTTTCTCTTTCAACGCTGATGTGAAACTCTTTGAAAACATTGAATACATGGTCTTTAAATCTCAAAGCAAAAGCCCAAACTTTTCTAGAATGATCATCAATGAAAGTAACAAAATAAAGAGCACCTCCAAGAGTTCTAGTTTACATAGTATAAACATTAATGTGAATTAAATCAATAACATTTTATCTTCTAGATGATGGATAAGTATGAAAGATAACTCTATGTGTTTTTCCAACTAAGCAATGATCACAATATTTAAGAGATATACCTTGCACCTTCGGTAATAACTACTTTATAGCAAGAGTTTGAAGTCATTTCTCGTTGATACGACTAAGTCTCTTATGTCAAAGATCTATGCTTTAACCCTTTTGAATTGTATTGATCTCTCATTTCTGTAACTTAGCTTTCATGACATATAAAGAGTTTAGCTTTTTTCCTCTCACCACAAATAGAGAACATTTAGTGAGCTTTCTTTTGCTTTCACTAGTGTGTAAATCCTTCATGATCAAGTCTGCTTGCAGATATCAAGTTAAGACGAATATTTGGAATATATCTAACATCTTTGAGTATTAATTTGCTCATAGTGCTGGTCTCTAAGTAAATATCTCCAATACCCACAATCTTAAATGTACCACTGTTTACCATTTTGATATTGCTAAACTCACTCAATAGTGTAAGATATGAAGAAATCGCCATAAGAAGTAATATGAAATGAAGCACCAGAGTCAATTACCCAGTTACTGTCCTGAGCTGCAAGACTAACACATCCGTCATCACAAACAATAACGATATCATCTTCAGCAACAAATGTACTGACCTCTTTCTCATTTTTCTTCCTTTCATTCTGTTCTCGCTTCTAAAACATACACTCTTTCTTCATGTGACCTGACCTGTTGCAGTGGAAACATTTGATATCTCTTCTAGACTTGGATCTTCCTTTATAACCATGTGGATTTCTACTATAACTTTTTCCATGTCTTTCTTGTTTTTCAATAAGTGCACCAGAAGAAGATTCTCTCCATTCTTTCCTTCTAGCATTTTCATTTAGCAAACTATCTTTAACTATGTCTATGGTTAGAGTCCCCTCTAGCGTGGAGTTACAAATTGTCACCGCATACGTTTCTTAACTTTCCGATAAAGAGCTGAGAAGTAACAATCCTAGCATCTCATCATCTATATCCATTTTCATAGTAACCAGCTTGTTTGCAAAACTCTGAAACAAACTTATATGCTCAACAATGTTACCACCATCTTTATACTTTAAATTGATAAGCCTTTTAAGAAGAGAAATTTTATTTCCCAGTGTCATTTTCGTAAAAAGATTTTCTAACCTTTGTCAAACAACATCAGCTCTGGTTTCATCATAAATATGCTCATGCAAATTTATATTCATTTATCTTCTAATATAGACAATAGATTTTCTATGTTGAACCTCTCATTTCACATCTTTCATAATAGAAGATTTTTCTTTAACTTTGATTGACTTATATAAATATTTGCAATAGAGTAAATCTTCCATCATATGCCTTCAAGTGAAATAATTTAATGAGTTCAATTTAATCATATCGCCGGACTCTTCCATTTCAATTATACAAGAAAAAAACGAGCACCAAACAACCTAATACTATGATATCACTTGTTAGGAAAAACTATTATAGCGAAATAATTCTTTTACCTCATTGTGTATCAAAATAAAGTTCCTCACTAAAATATCAACTTATTACCAAAAGCAAATATTAACCAGAGCAACATAAACAGTAGAATAATGAATTAATCACAAAGTGAGATACCAAATTTTTATGTGAAAAATTCAATGCGGGAAAAACCACAAGACCATAATTCACTTCAAACTTCCACTATCATCAATAATGATAATATATTTACAATAAGTCTTCTCAAAAATAACTAAAGGATCACAATAATATCAAGAACATATATCTCGACTCAACAATAATATATCATCATCATTATAGATGGATTTCATGAAAGGAAAATTTTAAATCTTACCAAGTGAGTATAACATAAAAGCATTTCAGAGAGGATAAATTATAGATCGGTACCATTAAGAATGTAAAGCTTGTTGCAAGGATTCTTCACATAAAATTTAGACAAAAACCGATGAAGTTTAGCCACTTGATCATCTATCAAAAGCCTCAAAACCTTAACTTTCTCTCTCTGTTTATTTTTCTACGTTGCCACAATTTCATCATTAGGACTAATTTGATGAGCTTATACAAATCTTTACAATAGAGTAAATCTTTCATTATACGCCTTCAAGTGGAATAATATTAATTATACCGTCTGACTCTTCCATTTTAATTATACAAGAAAAAAACTAGCACCAAACAACCAAATGTTTTGATACCACTTGTTGGGAAAAACTATTATAACGGAATAATTTTTTTCCTATTTATGTATCAAAATGAGGTTCCTCACTAAAATACCAACTTGTTACCTAAAACAAATATTAACCATAACAACATAAACAGTGGAACAATGAATCAATCATAAAAGTGAGACATTGAATTTTTGCGTGAAAAACTCAATGCGAAAAAAATCGTCATGATCCATCATAATGGGCACCTCTGAACCACACAGATGATTTCCACCTTAGTCTCAATCGGACTTGTCATAACGTGTTTATTTCTTATCTAACAATGTGTAATGATATCACTATCCATATCACATACAAGCACTCTTCATCCTGTAACTTCTTTACTTTGTATTCTAATGAACAACATTCTGAAAATCCTATACCTTATAGAGTCCTATCTAACTAACTATCATATACCTTGTCATCTAATTTGTCGGGCTCTCTTAAACAAATATGGGCTCTGGAACAATCCAACTCTCCAACTGCTTCGATCATACCTCTACATGATCAAGTCCCTCCCATGGGATTCACTAGTGCTTGCATTCGAACTTTTCTCTCGATGGTACACAACCCCAATATACTGATTGACCAAGGTTTTCATCTGATGCAAAATTCGATGCATGCACGAAAGACCCGCTTTTGTGATACCGTAGCCTTCACTCCTTAAATCCATAACGAAAATATTTTTCTATTTTGAACATCCTATTTTAGTTCTATGTACATTAACCGGTCCTTTTCTCTTCACCAAACTAAATCAACGATGTGGCATGTGCTTAGAGTAGATTAAAAAGGTTTGACTGTTATAAAGCATCACCAATTTTCTAGCTTTCCTTTTGGCTATAAGCCAAAGAAAGACACAACAGAAGCACAATCAGCTTCCGCCTATCCTCATCGATGCCAAACCTCAATGAACAGACAGGAACAACAAACAAAATCAACAATGAAGAAAGAATACAACTGTCGTCGACTTACCTTGACCGCGTTGGTCGCTGTAGAGGTCGATCCGCACTCCCTTCCTCTGGGCATAGAGATCATGCGAGAACTTGCAGTCGGAACCCTTTTGGCACCTGCCCGCCTCGCGGAACTCGCGTCGACACATAAGCAAGTCGATAACCCTAAGAACATCAACACGCGCATCAGTAATACAACAGAGACCAAGAGGAAAAGAAGACGACGAAAACCCCCCTATTTATTAATTGGAACTTTGGGCTGGCCGACGCCTTCTCTTCCTCCTCCTCCCCCTCCCGTTACTGTAGTTGTTAGATCAGCGAGGAATCCATCGACTAGTGAGGGGGCAGGGAACTAATGAGATGGATTAGGTTAAATTAGATAAGATAGTATCTCGACGGAGAACTGCCCGAGTGTCACGGACAAACTTCGAAACAGGATGTTTGATGTAATGCTTATGTATGTCCTGTCTTTTGGCATGTTCATGCCTTGTACAACATGTAGTGGGGCGGCCGAAGGCTTAATAGTCTCATTTTAGTTGGGTTGATGGCATCTTTAGACTTGTAAATAAAGGATGTGTCATGTGGACACGTGCGAGAGATTTTCGATTTATAATGGACCATTTTACCCTTTGTTGTGCCACTGTTTAGAGCTTGTAAAGTCTGTTTGTAATTTGCATTGTCTATGAAGTATTTTTCGGAGATGTTTGCTTGTGGATCCCGATTGAGGCGTTCTCTCTAACCCGCTCTCTCTTTTGTTGGTCCTAAGGGACAATGGGAGGCTTCGGGGAGGCTGACCTTTGCGGACGGACACGCAAGGGTGCCGCACGACTTAGGCAAAACTAGCTAAGTCCGTGACAGATGGTATCAGAGCGGGACAAGCACTCATAGAAACACTTAGCATGCAAACGTGGGGGACCTATCGGGGCTGCGTTGAGGGCAGTCAGCACACGCGCGACCATTTGGGGGAAAACGGACATGGAGATGTAGGGAAAAGGAGTCGCTCGAAAGAGCGGGCATCCGACATTGGTATTCAGAGGAATGGTCAACCCTTCGCGCAAGAGGCACCACGAAAACAGGCAAGCTTGGAAGAATGCGGAGCGCACAAAGGTTGGGATGGCTGAGTTTGAGCTACGGCTCAACGTTGATTACTATACTTGATGGTGCTCTAGGCAAGCGAGGCGCTTGGCAAGAATGAGACCATGCAAGGTGGAATGAGTTGTTCATCGATCGAAAGAGTTATGCAAAGCTCACAGAGGTGAGGGGAATTGCTAACTCGAAGAATTTGGTACTCATGCATGGGCTTGTATGCGGACGATGGAATGTTCGTGGCCATTCCAAGGCGACCGAAACTCGGCGCCATGGAGCATTGAAACTTTCTCTTCGGCATGTGAAGGATACGTCCGTTGGAGGCTGAAGTGTGCAACGAGTTCAGCATGTTGCTAGGCCTTGAGTGGTGCAGCGGGGGCTGTATTGACGTGGAGTCGCAATCTAGCAAGTGCATTTGCAGGAGGCAGAACAATGCACAGTTTGTTCAGCAGATCGGAGTAGTCCAAGGGGATGGTGGTCTCCGAAACGAAGAGAGATGTTGCTCCAATGGGACAGTTATCCAGGAGGGATAAGTCCCGGCTCTCCAGAGGGAGAATCATGTAGGACGTACCTCACAAGTTGAGGAGGAGTACCTCGACAAACAATAACTCCACGAAGCTTAATGGACTGAGCAAACAGCGAGGAGTCGTTGCATGATCTCGCTCAAGAGAATGCATTGGTGGATGCATTGCGAGATCAAGTGGGGGAGCGACCCAAAGCAACTTAAATGAAGGCACACTTGGAGTCGATGTGGAGATCGGACTCAAGGGAGGGCTGACCCGTGGAATGGTGGGCACGAGGGCCACCATCAACGCAATGCAAAAACGAGGAGCGGAGCAACTTGGTTGTAACTTGGCGGAGTACCCAAGCCGTATGAAGGGAGCCAGCATAGAAGTTGGAACATGGAGCGGAGGCACAGTACTTTCCTTAGACAGAGGTCAAGGACATGAACTCTTGCAGAGGCAAGAGTAGAATCATGTTGTTCCATGGGTCCTTCATTCTGACGTTGCGGACTCATCTTGCATGGTGCCAAAGACGAAGGGAGCTTCTGGGCACATGCACCTTATCTCGGAGGAGCATTTGATGGAGGAACTAAGGCGACTCAATTTGCGGAGGCGAAGATGAGTTCAGAAGGCCTTAGCACGGGGCAAGAGGACGCAGAGGCGGGTACTCTTGAAGAATATGCCACAGTGTTGCCATTCGAGTTGCTATGAAGGAACCGGTGCACAGCGGAGATTGTGCTGGTAGGGGCAGAGGCCCAGGATCCAGACAATGGTGCACAAATTACAGTGAAGTCGGTGGACTTCGGGAGCTACTAGGCGACGGACTGTCCTAGAGTGGTGCTTCATCTAGGTGTGACCTAAGAGTGGGTGGATGAAGGTCGATTGCCAAAGGAGCGAACAAAATCGAAGGTAGAAGAGACCCTGTGATGTATTGGCAGAGGCCACACATGGAGGGTTCACAATTCGAGTTTATTCCACAAGGATCAGAATGCAATGGAGATGTCACCAGGAGGCGACATGGTGTAGCGGATCGTGGTGGAACAGTTCGTGGCAATGCGATACACACGACCTAGACCCGTGAGGGACTAGATCATATGGAGGTATGATCGGGAGTTACTGGGAGCTCCACTTCGGTGAACAACATGACGGCAAGAAGGGCTATGGATTCAAGGAGTGAAGGCCATGGTACCGCAGAGGCGGGTCTTCCGGGCGTGCATCGAATTTTGCATCGAATGAAAACTTTGGTCATCAGCATATGGGGGCTGTGTTCCACCAAGGGAAAAGTTCGAATGCAAGTACCAGTGAGTTCCATGGGAGGGACTTGATCATGCAGAGGTATGATCGAAAGCAGCTGGAGAGTTGGACTGCTTCAGAGCTTATATTCGCTTAAGGGAGCCCGACAAGTCAGAGGACAAGGTCGAGTAAGCGAACGTTGCTACCAAGGAAGCTAGGGAGAGCAGAATCGGTGCAAACCTTATAATGCGATGGCAGAGGCCATGCATGGGAGTTGCAGTCTATCTTTCCATCGACCAAACGGACTGCTTGGAGAACACAGAGGTGTTGAAGTAGGGGGTCGAAAGGGGCGAGAAAGCGACGACAAGTCCAGAGGGACTTAGCTACCCAAAAGCAAGCATCAGTTAGAATGGAGGTGGACTCAGAGGAGTGCCATGGAGACATATCTACTGATCGTGAAAAAAAGGGATACAGATGCGAGGCCACGGATAGTAGGGCCATGGGCATGGCAGCGCCATAGTACCGCAGAGGCGGGACTTCCGTGAAAGTCATTGATCCCTTGCTCTCATGGAGGGAGAGCGCTTGGTCGTGAAAGGGGCCGAGGAGGTGGAGCATGCAGAGGCAATCTCCAAGAACCGAGACAAGGCTGAAGGGCAGAGGCCAAGGAACTTCGTAAGACCGGTGTCAATGAGCTTCTCATCAAGATAGCCGAAAGTGAAGGACTTCGGGTCATGCAAGAGTGCATAACCAAGGAACAAAGCAGGCAGTACGCGGTGCTGTACCTTTGCTACTAAGTGGAGTAGGCGGTAGGGTTGATGGAGAAGACGGTACAATCCCAGAGGCGACCAAACCTATGAGAGAATTACTCCAAGTTGGGGTGAAAACTTCCCGCATTCCAGAAGTTCGATGGCATTAAGAAGGTGAATCATAGTAGCTAACTCAACGCAAGGAGTGCAAACACTTCAAGTGCTTCAGAAGTGTGAGCAAAGAGCAGGCGAAGTCCAGTAACCAGCTCGATGCATGAAGTACAACCTCGAGGAGGCGGGCGAAGTCAAGTAACCTTTGCTTTCTCAACTCTCAAGAGAATGGGCGAAACCGAGTACCCCAATTCTCTTATCTATCCAGTAGAGGAGCTCTGCATATGTTCAAAGACCCTTCGAAGATAATGGAAGACAATAGTTATCAAATCCTCACCAACGGTGATCAGTGTTACTGAGAGTAGATTGTCCGCTTCATTTCCTAACGAAATGCCAATCGAAAGCGGAAGTGATGCGAACCTACTTGGATGTGACAACTAAGCGAAAGAAGAGTCAATGAGCAAATGTTGTGGAGGAAGGACCCAAAACTTCAGAAGTTTGCGAGACGATACTCGTTAAAGCTCCAACAAGCATCCACCCAGTTCAAGCAGCATGAGGAATTTGAGAGACTGGCGCAGTAAGGATGGTCTTTTCCTTCATCTGGGGGATCCACAGGAATCAACAAAGATCAACACAACTCAGCCAACCCCACACCAGAGTCAGAGTCATTGGTGAGTTGAAGCAGCATGGCGGATCAAAAGGTTCGACTACTCAAAAATAGCAGCGGAGAGCAGCTGGGAGTCAAGAGGCGCATTGTAGCTGGAGCAGAAGATTAAAGACTCAGCAAAGGCGAGGAGTTGCAGTGTCGACAAAGGCTTCAACGAGGACGTCGAAGGAATAAGTGGGGGAGAATGTCACGGACAAACTTCGAAACAGGATGTTTGATGTAATGCTTATGTATGTCCGTGTCTTTTGGCATGTTCATGCCTTGTACAGCATGTAGAGGGGCGGCCGAAGGCTTAATAGTCCCATTTTAGTTGGGTTGATGGCCTCTTTAGGCTTGTAAATAAAGGATGTGTCATGTGGACACGTGCGAGAGATTTTCGGTCTGTAATGGATCATTTTACCCTTTGTTGTGCCACTGTTCAGAGCTTGTAAAGTCTGTTTGTAATTTGCATTGTCTATGAAGTATTTTTCGGAGATGTTTGCTTGTGGATCCCGATTGAGGCGTTCTCTCTAACCCGTTCTCTCTTTTGTTGGTCCTAAGGGACAATGGGAGGCTTCGGGGAGGCTGACCTTTACGGACGGACATGCAAGGGTGCCGCACGACTTAGGCAAAACCAGCTAAGTCCGTGATAGGAGGGTACGAACGCACTTACCGGACATTCTTGCTTTGTGTTCTTGTTCTTCAACCCCCAAAGGTCTTCCTCCTCGACGATCCTCTGCTTCCTGGCGAGCTCCGCCTTCGATGGCTGGTTCTTGGGCCAGCATCAACAGAGAAACACGATAAAATGCGAAGAGGAATCAAATTCTGCTTCGCCTCGCTCTCTCTCTCTCTCTCTCTAAAATAAATAGAATTATTTAATTACCCTTCACGACTTGCATATTTATTAACCATACACCATCATAACTGAAATTATTATAAAAACAAATATTCTTTGGTTTTTCAAAAAATCTCTTTTTTTATCTTTTCAAGAAGATGTTCCTAATTTTTAATTTTTTTGATATTATTTTCTTTACTCAAAATACTCTTGGCTTATAGTCGTCTTAGTTTCATTGTGAGACTCTTATGCATTCTGTCCTAGAGCCTCATTGCTTTCACTCTATCATGATCGTTTTTATCTTGTTATAGTCATAAAAAAAAAGAAAAAAAAATAAGAAAAGAAAAAGAGTTAAAGTATGAAAGTATGATAATAGAAGAGAAGAAAAAAATACAAGGTAGAGATAGTCATAAGTTATGACAGGACTTGCAACGGGATGATAAAGGATGAAGAGACACATTTAGGATATTAAATAAAACATAGGCATCAAATGGAAAAACTGAAACACATTATAAGAAAATCTCAAAAATAATATTTTTAAGAAAAATCAATTAATATTTTTTAAATATTGAAAATAACTTTAAATATATTATATTTTTATTAAAGAGAAAAGTAAGGAACAAGTGAGAGAAAGGATTTATATTATTTGATTATTCTCAATTCAATTATGTTGAATCTCATATTTTGATAATGAAACCAATCGATAAGTGATTATGTTTTAATCTACGTTTTGAGTGACGTAGGATGCTTTGATCAGAATAAGACAATTAAAGTAGGAAAAATCATGTTGGGCAGGAGGAACATGTTAGAAGATTGGACGTCAGGCTGGTGGATTGATTGACGTATCAACATAAGGCTTCGGGCCCTGGATTCGGGCATCAGGCCAAGAAGAGCGGACATTGCGCTAAGGATATCGGAGTTGCAGAGTCAACTGGCTGATTGGGCAATAGGCCGTAGGAGAGGACGATGCGCCGAAGAATCGGACGAAGCGTCGAGAGACCAATGACATGCTGGACAAGTTGATTAATGCTTAATATTAATTGTCTATATCGAAGTTTGTTTTACATATGTAGAATTAACTATGATAGCAAGGCATGAAGCAAAATAAAGTCCTAGAGTTAAGGACGCGATCACGTTGGGAGTTCGAGAGTTCGTCAAAGGTCCGAACGTTCATCGAAAGTTCTGGAGGAACTAGCCGAGAAGTCTCAGAGCTTGCCAAGAAGCTTGTCGGAACACGCCAAGAAGATCGTCGTGAAGTCCAAGAGCTTGCCAAGAGTCTGCCGGAACATTGCCGAGAGATCATCGGAAGTTCATTGGAAGATCGTCGGAAGCTCGCCAGAAGAATAGACTTACGGACTTTGTTTAGCTTAGAATATGTCTTAGGAATCGTAGTTAGCACGTAATTAGATTTAGATTAGGCTAACCCAATTACAGGCCAGCTAGACCCATGTAAGAATTGTGTTGGGCCCAATAAGAAGCCCAAACAATGCCCCAAGAAGCCACACCGTCATGGCATAGTCTTCGAGACTGTGTCATGCAGTGGTACCGTCAGTTTGGGCGATTGTACCGCCCCTAGCAGGGTGCCAAGTGGTGGTACCACCCAACACTGCACCCCAGGTGGTGGTACCACTAGACCTGGGCGGTGGTACTGCCCAGGGCAATATCAATCAGGCTGACACTGGGCGGTGGTACCGCCCATGCCCGAGGAACCCTGGATAGGAAAGTTTTAGGCTCCAAGTTTGAATCAACTTGAAGCATATAAATACCCCTCTTATCCCTGGTTAAAACACACAAAGCACAGAGTATTCAAAAGTGAGAAAACACTGCTGTAATCTTTTTAGAATCCTCCTCTTTGAGTCTAAGTGTTAGAATAATTTGAGAGGAGTGAGTGCTTGTAAGGCTTGTCTCCTAAACCCAGGAAAGGAGAAGAGGGATGTAAAAAGATGATTGACCTTTGCCTATTGAAGGAAGGCTTCTAGTGGACATCGATGATCTCGTCGGAGGAGGAAGCCGAAAGTGGATGTAGGTCAAGATTGACCGAACCACTCTAAATCTCGGTTTGTATTTTATTCTTGCTATTTTCTTACTGTAAACTTCTTTAAGGGCTTACTGCTTTCAAGCTATCTTTATGAATACACTTTCAAAGTTATTATATTTACGAAATGATTTTTATGTCGGAAACGATTTTATCGTACAAAAGATTTTTAAACCGTCGTTATCTTTCCGCTGCACTAATTCATCCTCCCCCCCCCCCTCTTAATGCGGACCTCTTGATCCTAACAAATTAGTGCTATCATCATATAAGTATCAAAACAATTTATATACATATATCATCCCGATTTGTTTTACTCTTAAATTTAGGTTTCATAGATATAAATAATTATTTATTTTAATAATAAATAAGCATATATTAATAACTAATGCGGTTAGTCAATTATTTATATAATAATGTTCGAACTCCAATTCACATTAAAATTTATAGCATTGGGTGATTTCTTTGTGGGCATCAATCATTTATTTAATATAATTTGTATCGTCAAGTCTTTAATTATTTTAATACTTTATACAGTCCTTTAATTTTTTTCTTTGGAAATTGGGGTGGAAGCTTAAGCGATGAACAGATAAAAGAACAAAAACAATATGGCATAAAATTTTATTAAATAATAATGATAAAGTTGGTATCTAAAGCCCTTCTCTTTTTTTTTTCCCCAAGGATAAACGGTGAAATTGAATTCTAACTCACAAAATCAATACTTAGGTACCACCCAA